TACCTTTCAATGAAGGAAAACTACAAGCCTTCTGTAAACAAAGGTAAAAACACTACATATCAAAATCCATGACATATGAAGCAATAACCGGAGAAAATTCATAGCCTTACACACTTAAGGTTGTATACAATTTAAAGATAACAATGAGTAAGATCCCAATTGAAGATCCCAATTAAAAAAGAAATAAAAAGGCAAAACTAAAGGAGCTTAAAGAAAGACATAAAAAAGGCAAAATCAGATATTAACATGAAGAGAAAAACATATTTCATTAGCAAATCAAACTCTGTTTTTTGAAAATTAACAAAAGGGACTATTAATATACACATGAAGAAATAAGAAAAGAAGAATGCAGAATAATTTTAAAAACAATTTAAAACAAATGATCATTGAAGTACATAAATTGAAAGGTCATAAGAAACGACAAATCACTATATACTTGGCCAAAAGGTCAAGAGGTAATTAGACATTTATTGAAATAAATTTGAAAGTTAAATAAAAAGATACTTACTAAAACTGCCCCAATAGAATACAAGGAGTTTAAACAACCAATTTCCATTTTAAAAAGAGCATTACAAATCACTACCTCACAGAAAAGTGGCAGAAACAAATGGTTTCCCATTCAAGGACCAAATGGTTCCAATCTTAAAAATGTTTCTGACACATTGAAAACGAAAACTTCCAAATTATTTTTATGAATCAAATACAGTGTTGTAGTGAAATCTGATATGGAATAAAAATTAGAAAATTGAAGATCAATATCACTGATTACCAACAGGAAATTACCACTTAAAATATTAGGGAGCATATTTAAAACAATATTTTAAAAATTCCGTAGTATACAAAATTGAGGTTTATTCCTAGAAAGTAAAGTGGGTTCAGTATTAGAAGCTCAACAATACACTATGCCATCTTTTTTTTTTTTTTTTTTTTTTTTTAGGCAGTGTCTCTCACCACAGTCCAGCCTAGCCTTGAGCTCACTGTGTAACCTAGAATGACCTCAAGCTTGGAGCAATTCTTCTGCCTCGGCCTCCTGAGTGCCTGGATTACAGGGGTGCACCACTACACCTAGCTATCCCATCCTAAGAATCCTGAGATAAACAGATGACTTGATTTCCACAGATGCTAAACAAGCCTTTGAAGAAATTCAATATTCATTCTATAAAGTATTCAAGACTTGATGGTTATTTCCTTGACTTTATTAATAGAAATATAACACAGTCATACATACATAGCTAAGTCAAATCCTAAAACATACACAGCAATAAAACATCACAAGCACGGTCAAAAGACAAACCACAAAATGTGGGAAATTCTGTAAAATATGTAGCAGAGAAAGGGATAATATATGTCAAGAATTCCTCATAACCAAAGGAATAAGAGAAGGAAGGAAGGAAGGAAGGAAGGAAGGAAGGAAGGAAGGAAGGAAAAGGACAGAGAGACAGACAGATAAAAATATAAGAACAGAAAATTCAAGAAAGTATCGCCCTTTTGCTTTAAGAAATGGAGAAGCCATGGCTGGATTCACACTCCCACTGCAGGTAACTAGGAAAACAGATACAATGAAGGACAGAATTGGTTTTGGATTTTAAATAGGTAGTGCAAGATGATCCTTGATAAAATGGAAAAAGGTTTAAGTAAACCCATGTATGTGTCCCAGCTCTCTGCTTGGTGATAATTCCAACCCAAGAACAGGCCTGGCTGCTAAGCACAGGACGGCAGCCTCCCCAGGGCGGACGCTGCTCACAGAGAGCCAGCAGAACTGTAACTGCAGAGTTTGACAGGACAGAAAGCCACAGAAATCTGTTTCGAAGTCAACTTCAAATTAGTCAGGAATCTAAATGTAAGAAACCGTCTTGAAAACTTATGATAGAACACTTATGACCCTGACTTAGGCTCAAAAAATGCAAATTATGGGACAGGGTTTTAGCTCAGTGGCATAAATGCCTGCCTGGCAAGCGCGAGGTCACCAGTTCGATCACCGGTACAGAAAATAAAACAAAACAAAAAAGCAAATCATAAAAGAAAAAAATCATTACTTGAACATCATCATAGTTAGGCACAAATGCTTTCTGAAAGACACTGAGAAGACAATGAAAAGATAAGCTACAGATGCAGTACGTTTCTATAAAGCAAATATCTGACAAAAGCTCTTACTGTATAAAGATCTCATACAACTCAGTAAGAGAAATCAATTTTTAATTGGGTATGTTTGCCAAAGAAGACAAGGATAACAAACAAATACATAAAATCTGTTATCATTCATCATTAAGGATTACTGATAAAAATTTAAATTACTATCTGTACTAACATCTACAATAATGGAGAAAATTAAGAAAACTAACCAAACCAAAATGCAAAGCAAATGGAAATCCTGACAGGAATTATATAATGATACAATCACTCCAAAAAATAGCACAGCCGTTTCAAAGTTAAGCAAAATTTGTCATATGGTCCACACATTAATGTTCTCAGCTATTTACCAAAATAAATTAAAATATAAGCCTATAAACAAAAAATTATTTTATCCATAACTATGAAACATAGGACACAATTCAAATGTTCATCAACAGGTGAACAGACTAAAATTACGGTAGTTTTCAATAAAATATCACCCATCAACAAAAAGGAATGAAAGATAAATTTCAAAAGTATTAACACTATACTAAGTGAATAAAGATAAACACAAAATATTCTATGCCTTGTATTTTCATTTACATAACATTTCTGAAAATGTAAAAATACAGGGGCAGAGATTATTGCCAGGGCCTGGCAGCAAGAGAAAATGACCGAAAGCAATGAGGAATTAGAGAAATTCTGGAAATCAAATGTTCTATCAACTTGATGGCAATGTCTACATGATATGTTCATACGTTCATATTAGACCATATCAAAGCGTACATTTGGAAGAGTGTATTTTGTCAGTTATAATTCAATAACCTAACCTTAAAAAAACTGCAGACTTCAAAGGATTTAAATATATGTAGCCAAACTGTCCTTCAATTAACTCACTTTATCTTCCTGCATCCACTGAATTCACATTCCCACCGGCATTCCACAAGTCCCTGCACCCACCAACCTCGGGACTGTCAGAGTTACTTACACTTCCCCAGCTGGTTTGTCTTTGCAGAAGGCCACCCACTCTTTGCTAACTTCCCCTTCTCCCCATGCTCGGAGACCCCAGGGCCTGGCACACACTGGCCATTTAGCCCAGACCTCACCTAACTGCTTAACCTACTGCACCTTCTACTTTTTAACACAAGTGACCTTTTCATTTGTTTCTAGGGCAGTAATAGTTCTTCAGTGTTTTCTGTTCATTCTCTTTAATTATTACCTTATGAAAGTATTTGGGGGCTTTTACTAGTGATGCTAGATATCCTCAAATATTTGTCATTAATATATTTTTAAGTTCCTCATAAGTTTTTGTCTGTTTTTAAATATATAAAAACTTAAATTTTTTAATCTATCAGTATTTTAACTTTTTTTTTCTTACCTTTTTCTGTAGTAACTGGGTATTGAACACAGTTATCACACTGAGCTATATCTCCATCATTTAAAATTTGTTCTTATTTTTAAAATTTTTGACACAGGATCTCATTAAATTATTGTTGCCAAGGCTAGATTTAAACTTGAAATTCTCCTGCCCCCCCAAGAATATGGGATGACATTCATGTGCCACCATGACCAGCTGCTGTTGTACTTTTAACTTAGAAGTTTCCATGTTCATGCCAGAGGGTCACTTAAAAATATTCAATTATATCAGTTCTAAGGTTCCAAGTTTTAACTCTTTAAACCTGTGCTGCTACAATGACTACCAGTTACATGTGATTACTGAAACTGTTACATTAAAAATTCAGTTCCTAATCACATTTTAATACTAGACTTTCATTTTCTAGAAAAGTTTTAGGTGCAGTGTAGGCAGAAGTAACTAGAAGTGCGGTGAGATTCCATACGCCTCCAGCCTCCATATCCACACCCCTCACTGTGTGGGACCGCTGTTATAGTAGATAAATCTGTACCGACACATCATCATTACCCAAAGCCTGCCCTTCATGCGAAGACTCACTCTTGGTGTATACTCTACGGGTCTTGACAAAAACATGAGATACATCAACCATTATAGTGCACAGAAGTGTTCATCTCCCCTAAAGACCTTTTGTGTTTGGTCTGTGTGTCCTTCCCTCCCTTCTCCTCACAGGTAATCACCGATTTTGTTTTTGCTTCCATAGTTCTACATTTTTCAGAATATCAGAGAGATGTACTCATACACACATGTGAGAGTAAAACTCTTTAAGCGTATGTACAGAGTACATACATGTTAAGTATATATGTCTTGAACTCCTTTGGTAAATGCCAAGGAGCATAATTACCGGAGAGTATGGTAGGAATGTTTTAATTTCCTAAGAAACTATGGAAACTTGTTCCAAAGTGGCTGCTCCGTTTTGATTCCCACCAGCGATGAATGAGAATACGACCGCCACACATATTTGCCAGCAGGTGGTAGTCCACTACCCCTGATTCATGAGTCACGTGTCCTTAAGGGCTACCACACTGGACAAAACAGACTGTTTCCAACATCACAGAAAGTTCTCCTGAAAGTGCTTCTCTGTTTAAGACTTAATTGGTTATACTGTGGGAAAGAAGATACTGTAACAGCTTTCTTTTTTTCCCTACTGTATAAACCCATCCCTTTGTTTTTACTAAAATTTTGATGGTTCTTTGTTTATGTATATGATATCTGCTCAAATTCAGATTCTTGGTTAGCCATTTTTTAACTATGTGCCTTGAACATATGATTTAACCCTTCTGACTTTATTTCTTCATCATAATTGCTCATTAATTTAGTGCAAGAAATAAATTAGATAACCAAGGTAAGATAAATTAAAACATTCATCATGTTAAGCCCTCATTTTTAAACTCCTCAAAAACCAGTTTATCTTCTAATATTTCAGTATGGTATTTGAGAACACTTCTTAACCCGAAAAGTTTAATACTGTATTTACCCGATCTGGATTTTTATAACCCAAAAGTAGATTTGCTGCTTTTATATCACCATGAACATACTCATTTTCATGTATATATTCTAGCACATCCAGCTGTGAAAAAAAAAAGAATATAATGTTATACTGCTGGCTTTATACTGCTGTCCATTTAGAACTCATGATCAACTTGGATATTTTAAATATACAATAACAGGGGTTTTTCATATTAACAATGACAAAGTGATCTATTCTACAGTTACAGTTTAGTTATTCTAAAATAGCATTTCCAGTTGCTCATCCTGGAAAAAAAAATTGAGTAAGATGATCTTCAAATATTAAGCGTTTTAACTGAAACTTCAGTGGAAAAAACCCAGAATCAACAATGCCTGTACCTATGCTACTGACAGCCAAAACTCATTGTTCAAGGAAAATAATATCAGAGATCTACAGTGAAATAATCGTGAAGCCCACTCAGCAATTTTTCACCCAAGCAATAATTAGAAATCAAGTCCTGGGGACCTCAGGACAAAATACCATGTCCATGAACATTTCTCCTGTGTTGAGGAATACAAAAATTCTGAGCTTCATCTTTAAAGACCTTTGGTCTACATGCTACATATACCTAGTTTTCAATAAACATTTTACTGGCTTGTTGGATGGATGAATGGGAAAATTAGTAAGTTCCATCTGACACATCAGAATCTAGCATGGTAGCTTCATTCTACTTAATAAAGAAAAAATAAAACAAAATGTAAGCAAAATAATATAATACCAGACAAATACTGTATGTGGTATAAACGAATGCATGCATATATGCTATTAATATCTCAATGCTTCTTTTTTATTAAATTATATATTATTCACTGCCATGATTAATACTGCCACCAACCCTAATTCATATTAAAAAACTCAAAATATCCTTATATCATTGCATGTTTAATATAAAAAAATATGTATGGCCAGAACTTGCTACAAATATAAGTGACAAAAGAGGTTATTCTTACAGCACTGCAAGCTTGTTCTGATATGTAAAATAAACTGTGAGGAACAAAAAAAAAAAAAAGCCAGACTGTAAAGCCAATGCCTAATTGAGTCTGCAGTGCCAAACACAGCACATTCTGTCATTCATCGAGCCCGCTGTTATCAATTTCACCAAAATAACCTCTACTCTCAATAACTGACATTTCTAGAGCAATAATCCTTCATTTGCTGTTAATTCCACAAAGGGGAAAATTTGTACAATGGAACTAGTAAATAAGCCAAAAGTGGGACGTGTGAAGTAAGTAATGCTTTCTTACCATTCGGAGACCTAGTTGCAGGACTGCTGACTTCTTAAAAGTCCCATTCTGGTCTGAGATCTTCTGTAAATCCATTCCTAATCTTTCCATTACCATAAACCTGTAACTGTAAGAGAGAGATCAAAATGAGATCTCCCTGAGATAATAATATTTGAAACTACTAGTGAAAAATACCTTCCATATACGAACTATGAATTTTGCAATCTGAACTTTTAGAGAATGAATGAACATTAATAATCCTATTATTATTTTGCAAATACTATTCCATGTTTAGTTTGCAGTTTGTTTTCTAGAAGAGAACACTCTGCAGGACATTCCCCCCGTCTAAGATAATGAAAAGAGAAAGGTCTTTTAAAACTAGGTGCTAGTTTCTTCCCCAGTCAACCCTTGAAATAACTGCAGCCCAGCACACAGCCTACTACATTCTATAAAACCTCGAGCTAGAAGCAACCAGCTAAGGCATTTGAGGATTCCTGACCCACAGGAACAAAGTTATTGTACTATAACTCACCATGTTTCAGGTCATTTGACACATATAGTAACATTATCTACGAGATCACATGAGGAATAGTTACTTGATTATAATGTGTAATTGATTATATAATTTGGTTGTAACAATTAATAATTTTTTTACCTTCTTCCCTTGAATTCAGTTATACCAGATCCATAAAAAAGAGGAATTCCTAAATAATCAAGTTGTTTGAGTTCTATCCACTTTTTTACTGCAAAAACAAATTTAATGGAAAAATGATTCACATTAGTTAGAAAGGAATTTTTTTAACCTTTGCATAGATGCCAAGACTTACTTAACTAACCAAAATAGCAACTAGAACTTCCTAAAAAATAAAAAGCTTAGGGGCTGGGGATTTAGCTCAGTGGCATAAGCACCTGCCTTGCAAGCAGGCAGTCATGAGTTCAATCCCCAGTACCGATAAAAAGGAAAAAGACAAAAAAAAAAAAAAACTTAAAAAAATTTAAAAAAATAAAAATCTTAAAATGTGCTCACTTAATGGCCAAACTCTTGTTATCACTATAATTTACACACATACACAGTCACAGTCTTTTTAAATTAAAACCAAAACAAGTCACAAACTTATAAAATACACTGGTATTCTGCTCACAAATGTTTCTATTCATAGAGAAAATAATTTCCTTACATGTTAGCTAAACTTCTAACTGTAACACACATTAACCACAGAGATCCATACAGAGATGGCCTTTTCCCTTTATTACCTATACTTAAAAAACAAAAAAAGCAACATAGAAATATAGATAGAAATTGGGCAGAAAAATCATTTCATTCTGAAACTGTTATATAAATCTACTTAAACAATCAGACAGCTTAATCATTTTTTTTTACTTCTACCATATGTGTTTCATGTTTAAGACAGTTTTACTGACACGCAATCAAGTTTAACGGGTTCTATTTGTCACTCTTAGTTTAAGTAGTTAGTAAAGACTATGGGTTTAATGCTTAGGAGGTTTTATTAAGAAAAACAAAGGTAATTTTTTAGGCCAAACCTATCATGCTTTTTCCTAAACATGATCATACTAGTGCTTACTCCTATCAACTTCCTTAATGTCTCACGTAGCCCACCTATGTCATACAGGATTTTAAAAAATGCCTTATTCTTTATCTCTGCCCATATTTGTTTCACTTACTCTGCTAGTTTTTACACATGATATCCAGTTCCAGTTAATTCCCCAACATTCATGCTTCTAATATTTATTAAATATTTAATCATTTTCATATCTAACATATTTCATAATCATTCCTTTTGTATATATGTCTACTTCCTATTTTAAAGTATTTTCTTTATATCCTTACTATACAAATGGTTCTTTATTAAAAAAAAAAATTTCACCAGGTATGGTGGTACATGCGTGTAATACCAGCACTCAGTAGACTGCGCAAGAGGATCACTATGAGTTCAAGGCCAGCCTAGGCTACAAAGTCAGTTCAAGACCAGCCTGAACTACACAGCAAGATCCTGTCTCAAACAAAACAAAACAAAAAAAGAAATAATTTCATCCTACTATCTTAGAGAACTCTTTGTAGCTTAGATCAACAACTCAGAATTTTATGTAAAGGAACAGAAACAACTTTGACTTAAAATATATAACCAATTATGTATGCCATATCAAGATCAGCATACCATCTGTCTTGCTTTTATATGTTGTAACAGTTAACTATATCACTTTACAATAAAATTTCTTATGGAGAAGAATTTTCCAGAAGGCCAGAAAAAGACCAAAATATTAACACTCACTTTAGAAAGCACATATATAGAAGCAGCTTGCTTTGTTAATTTTACTTACTACAGTCTTTTTTTGCAGCTCTCTGATAAAATTTTAGTTCTGAAAATAATGGGCCATTTTCTTGATATTCCTATGAAAGAAAAGATTAATTAATTTTACCAGGAAAAAAATAATCCTAAAGATAGAACTGGTATTTCAACTGTGAAAATGAGCACATATATGTAATACATAATAGTACTTGAATCATTTTTTACAAAACATAGGCAGCAGATTTCCACTAAAAATCTCAGAAAACACTAAATAAATTTGAAAATCTCATTTCTAAACAACATATTGTACTCTTATCCCAATATAGTCTTACACATGAAAGTAGTCTTATGTAAAGTAATGTTAAAAGCACTAAGAATTATGTACATAAGCACACATGGACATTCACCATACACCAGCATGTACATCAGGCTGGACACTAGACATTCCCCTGGAGGTTCACCGATAGCATCTTTACTGAATGTCAACTCTGTTTTACTCCTTGTAAAGGCACACAGAGTGTACAAACAGAAACAGTCTTATGGCTGTCTTTAAGGACCTTAGCGAGTGGAGAAGGAAAAGGAGGGAGGAGTGGAAGGACAGATTTCTAGATATTGTACCAGGACAATACACAGTGATACAGAACGATGATTCTTCAGTGTTAACCTTTTAATCAGGTAAAAATGTATTATGACCAGTAGGTTCGTTAATAAGTATAAATAATAAAAAATAAGGTAAATATTTTGTAAAAAAAAAAAGTCACATATAGGTAAAATATACACTTAGAAGCAAACACTTACCACTTTTATCACATGTCTTGCATCTCCATCTTTTTTATTTGTGGGGAAAGCTGCAGAGAGATCACAACAGAAAATAATCATTATTCCAAACCCCTGAGTATCTATCACAGGCTGTACTAACCACTTACATATGTTACTGTATTTTATTCTCCAAACAACCTCTTACAGTAGTGTCATCTGCATTTTACACAGAAGCTAGTAAAGTTTGAGAAGTTGAACAATTTATCAAGAAAGAGCAGATTAGGGATTGATACTTACATAAATCTGACATCAAGCCCATAGTCTTAACGATAATCCATACTCAAAATTCAAACATGGAAACCAACATGTGATATTAATCACACAGATCCAAAATTCAGGGAAAAATATTTCCTAGGCTTATGGCACTAAGTTAAACTGATGATATATAGTAAAATCCATTGGTTCAATTTCACTAAATGAGAATCTATGATGATTCAGAAAACTGATTAATTTTAAGTAGAATACTTAAAATAATCTGTACTTGACAAAAGCTCTAGAATAAATGGGTGAAAACGAGAATGATGTCTTTAAAAATTAACTTCTGAACCTAGCTATCAATTATTTCTAAATTGCACTATACGTATCTCATAAGTTCAAGTTATCTTCATTTCATTCTTTTTAATTTATATTTCACTAGTTTAATTCAACATTTAAATATCCAGCTTTTACATTTTTGAGTGAGCCACCTCTCCCCTGTACATCAGTGGTCCCCAACTGGTTCATGGTCCATTAGAAACTGGGCAGGCAGCAGGAAGTGAGCTGTGGTGCGTGAGCAAAGCTCCATCTATATATGAAGCTGCTCCCTATTGCTGACATTACAGCCGGAGCTCCACCTCCTATCAGGTCAGCAGAGGTGTTAGATTTTCTTGGAATCAGGAGCCCTACTGTGAACTGTGTATGTGAGGGATCTAAGTACATGATTACTAGACAGTTTTTAAGAAACAAGAGCTCCTCCTATATTTCTTTTAGAAAAACAGCCACCACTGAGCATATTTCAGTGACACAGAATAGATTTTAAAACTTGTCTGTTAGTGTGACATATTCAACCTGATCAAAAAGCCCAATCCGTCATTTCAAAACAGAGCAACAATTGTGTTCAAGTTGGCAGATGAATCAAGGCTACACTGGAATTATGAGGATAACAATTGAACACTGGGATTTTTGAAATGTTTCAAACATTAACAGAGATCATAAAAGAGTCTGACCTTATTTCTCCTAGCTGATATACGATTGCCTACCTCATATCTGGAAAGAGTTTCAGTATTATTCCAACCACAAAAGACCCCCAATTTTGGAAGGAACAGAACTATGACCCAGTGTGACTACACCAGGTGAACTGACTGCCAGAAGAGGATCAACTGCTTAACGTGGCAAATGACAAGTTCAAATCTCCCTAGTTTTGGATAAAAATCAAGGTAGACTATCCTGAAATTGCCACAAAATCATTGAAAAGTCTGCCTTCGTTTCCAACATCCTATCGTTGTAAAGCAGGGTTTTCTGCAGTGATAGCAACTAAAACAAAATTACGGTACACACCAGGGTCACTGCCCCCTGTCACCTCCAGATGTGACTATCGGGTTTCAGAAAACAAGCTCAGGACTCCTACTAATTCTACATTATGGTGAGTTGCATATTTATTTCATTATAAAATACACTGTAATAATAATAATACAGTACACAATAAATGTAATGTGCTTGAATCATCCCAAAACCAACACTTCCCCACCCCAATCAAAGGAAAAATTGTCTTCTATGAAACCAGTACCTGATGCCAAAAATGTTGGGAACTGCTGCTCCAAATTATCTAGAAAGACTACACACTCCATTTCTAAATCTTCCTGCGTTTATGCGTACATTTACTTTTATTGTGTAAGACTCTAATCTTGTCATTCATTTTACTATTCATCCAACATCCATGTACACAATTAGCCAATATTTATTAAGAAGCTAGAATATGCCAGGCACTGACAGGTGTTAGGATAAATTTTAAGGAAGGGAAAGGGGTTAAAAGTGAAACAATTATTTAATTCAAATGAAAATTGGTATTCATACTAAGAACGAAATTAAATTCCTCAGTTTTAGGGCATTTACTAAAATGTATACTCCTTATTGCACTTAATGTTTTTTTCTAGCTTCTTTTATGAACTATTCTCATTTATCTACTTCACATCTTAGATATAAAGAATTTATCACAAACTTATACAAGTACATAAACTGAACATTTCAACTGAGCAAATATGTGTAATATTCTTATACATTCTTTAAAGTCTCTGGTGTCAGCTATACTAAATGTTATAGTTTGGATCTTCAATGCACCCTTCATGATTGGTTGCTTTTGCTTCTATCTAGATGTCTCTCAAAGCCTCCTGCACGCATAGATGGGGTTTTGAGAAGGTGATTAGATCGTGGGAGCATGATACTCATCAGTGGATTAGTTCACTCATGGTTTATAGGTAAACGCGATGTTAGAAGGTAAAGCATGGTTGGAGGAGGTAAGTCTCGGGGGGCATGGTCTTTAAGGCTTTATCTCTTCCCCACAATTCCCTTCACCTTCTGCTTTCTGCCATGCCCACCTGCCATTCCATCCTGCCTTAGAGCCAGGCAACAATGAACTGAAACCTCTACAAACTGAGCTAAAATAAACCCTTTCTCCTTTAAGTCGAGGCACTGTTTCTCAGCAGCCAGGAGAATAACTAAGATACTGCTATCAAAAGGCTTGGTTTTCCACTTATGGTGCTACTAGAACTAACAGAAACTTTACGAGGTGGGATGTGGTGGACGAGGGAGGTCAACCGTGATGTGCTCTTGAAAGGCACTCTGGGAATCAGCACTCCCTTCTCCTTTCTCTGCTTCACTGCACCATGAAAGGAAGTCTTTTCTGTCATGTGCTTCAGCACCGTGACTTACTGTGCCACCAGATATCCAGTCACTGTGTCACAACTCCACAGGCTGAAACTTCTGAAACCGTGAGCCGAGAACTTTCCTCCTGTTGATTTTTATATATTGGTGCTTTGTCACAGCCACCAAGAGCTGATTATACCAGTTGATATTAAATTGTGAACCCCTGACTTATTTTTACAAAGCAAATGATTTGGAGGAATTAAAATTCCCTTTTCAACTTCATTCATGTGAAGTTATTTCATTCTCACCAATGCAGTAGTTCCAAAGGAAATGACAGAGGACCAGATAATCCAGATTCACAGAAGAAAGGGGAAGAGAGCACACACAGGGAAGGAGCACAGTCCTGGGGTGAGGAGGGGCTGAGAAGACCTGCCTTCCCACTATACGACAAGCGTTTTTACTAGTGTAATGGCCAAGGCTAGGGGAAACAGGCCCCCCCAATGTTGGTCCACATAGAACAAGATCTACTCCAGGAAAATGGCTTTTATTCCTGATACAGTAGAAATTTATCATCACTTATCTAAAAGCAAATCACCAAGTGGCAAATAAATCTCTAAACTCAACAGAATGTGAGAAGCTGAAAAGTTCAGAAGAAAAAGTTTTTAAACTTTATAAAAAACTTATTATGCTACTACTCTAACCAAAAGACATCAACCAGTCCACGCTTCTGCTCCTTTCTGATTTCAGTTAGTACATTACTACTATTTATAATTTGAGTCTTACCACATTATTTCATATGAACATAACTGTGTTCACGTACCCGAAACATTCCAAGAGTTGTCATTCAGAGCTAAACAATGGTCTCTATAAACTTCTAAGTCAGGTTACGTTGGAAACCTAAATGTAAAATCAGCTGATGGGCATCTGAGATGAATATACATTTCTCAGATGAAGAAATATAAATGGCAAATAAATATATGAAAAACTGTCTAGCATCACTGGTCATTCAAGAGATACGAATTAAAACAACACTGAGATGCCATTTGACCCCAGAAAAAACGGCTATCATCATGAGATCAATGTTATACTAAGATGCTGAAAAATTAAAATAATTGATTAAAAGATATTAGCAAAAATAGTTACTTAAAAGGATAGTTATTAGCAATATTGTCATTCTGTACTGAGCTTATTACCCTAGTAACCAAGCACCAACCACATGGTTATAGATTAACTGATTGCGCCATCATGCTGTTCTGTATGCGTCATTCCCCCACCATAGTGACCAGTGTGCTATGTCAACTTTTGTACCGCTTGTAAGAGACAAATGATGCTTTGTCAACCATTGTTCCCTTTATGAGAGACAAATGTTCCTAGAGTTGGCAGACCAAGGGCTATGCACTGGCTAACCACCCACTGTGAAATGCCTCTGATCTCAAGCAAAGGGGAACAAAGGCCCACCTTGTTTCTGTTTCTCATCACTACTTAATAATCAATGAGCTAATCATAAATGAACTATAAAAATCAGTCAAAACTCTAACTCAGTTGCACAGCTCTGCAAATTCCATCTGCACTGTGTCGATGGGCCAGCTAAAATAAAAGGGCTTCTTCCTAAAAATGACGTCCCCATCTTTTCCATCTCAGGGGTTTTGCCCCATTTTTCATCTCAGGGGCCTCTTTGGGGAAGTACAACAATCAACAAGTAACACATGATGGGGGGACTGTAGGGAAAAAGGAACCCCTCTCCACTGTTGGCAGAAGGGTAGGCTGGTGCTACCACTGTAGAGATCAGTGTGGAGATTCCTAAAAAGCTAGGATTGGAGGTCCCATTTGACCCAGCTCTTCCTTTTCTGGGTGTTTTCCCAGAAGAAAAGAAAACATCATACCACAGTGATATATGTTCACCCATATTTATAGCAGCACAATTTTTAATAGCAAAATCTTGGAAACAACTCACATGTTCATCAACTATGGAATGGAAAAAAAGATGTGATATTTTTATTTAATGGAATACTACTCAGCTATAAAGGAGGACAAACATGAGGCTTTATAGGTAAATGAATGAGGCTTTACTCAAAAGTGAGATAAATCAGATCCATATGTGTAAACATTGTGTTCTCTCTCTAGTATAAAAAACTGAAAGAATAAACAAGATCCAAAATGTACAATAACTATTCTGAAAGTGAAAGGG